TTTCATCATAATTGAATTCATTGTTTCTCTCCGTATCCTCTTTCTCATCAACTCATCTCAAAACTTTTCATTATTTCTTTGTTTGTTCTGGTTTTCTCCTCCTCTTTTTCCCCCCTATTGGCTATCGCCCTCACAACACACACCACTGTCTATAAACGTGATCGTGCCCACTACCGTATCAGTTTGTTTCCTCAGTGTTCCAAGCGTTGGTTCACATACTCGCCAGTGTGGACGGACGTTTAGATTCACTCACTGCCTAGAGACGGATCCTCGAAGGTAAACACACGGAGTACTCACGGTAACTGAAGACATAGGAATGCATAATTGAGGATAGACCTAAACAAACCTGAATCTGTGTTTGGTTTATCTTAATAACGCTGCTTTTAATTACAGCTGTACCAAATTGATTGATTTAAAACCTTGATGATGAGGATGATGATTTAACCCTTTCGTGACCACCACTATTCCCTTCAGCCATCACACCACACCACCACCACCATCCTTCTCCCCACCGCCTAACCGCCACTACCACCATCCCCTCCTCCAACCACCACCATTCTCTACCAGCCATCACTACCACCAACCCTGCCACTGCCCACCACTATCATCCTCCATCACCACCGCCCACAATTCCATTACCTATTTTCTCACTCCTCTATTTTATTATTATCCCTTCTATGTGTCCTTCCCTCCTTCCTCACTGTGATAATACACTAATAAAGTATTACCGCGGCCGGACTCCCTTCCCTTCCTCACATACTGTAGGGAATTACTGCTACCGCCGCCTCCTCTCCTTCCTTCCTTCCTTCCTTCCTCCCTCTCTCTCCCTTCCTTCCTCCTCCTATCCTCCCTCCCAAGCCAGATCAGGGTCTCCCAGCCTCAAAGATTCGTAAGTAATTTTAATTTTCTCTTAGTTGAGTGATTAAGTGTAAATGGCATCTGGCTACTGAAGAGCGTTGGGGTAAAGTCGACGCCGTGTATAAGGTCGTGTTTGATTTTTTAGTCGTTTTGTTTGTATGGTTTCAGGGTAACTTACACACAAAATTTGGACCGAAAAATGTTGTAGACCTATCCATTACCTGTCTCCTTCCTTCCTTCCTTCTCTTCCATCCTATTTCATTTCCTCTGTTTTCTTCCTCTTTCCATCATCACCATTCTCTCCCTCATCTCCTTTTCCTCACGTCAATACATCTCACACATCATTCATTATTCTCCTATCATCCTCTTAACACAGCCTCTATCATTATTTCCTTTCACTGTATTTCATTATCTTATTTCATCCCTATTTCCTCTGTGTGTCATTTACATACACCTGTCTGGTGTTCTCTTCCTCTTGTGTCTTCCTAGTCCACAGTCATTACCACACACTCGCAAGTCGGGGGAGGATTGAGGCTTCAGTAGGATTCATCAGTCTTTGTCTCGCTTCGCTTGTCTTTGTCTCTCTGGAAAATATATACACAGAGGACAAATAGTTCCTTCACCCATTCCTTTTCCTTCTTACTCCTCTCCTCTCTCAGGTTTTCATTCTTCTTGTTCATGCATTAAGACCCAGCGGAGGTTTACGATCCCGACCAGTGACTATCGTAAAACACAATACAAACAGCCAACAACACTACCACCATCACATCGCCTGGCTGCTTCCATCTCTCTCTCTCTCTCTCTGTAATGAGTGACTGTGACCGTGGACTTGTCTCTCCGCCTTTTCTTCCCTCCTCACGCTGGCTCTCGTTTGTTTCACGCTACGAGCATCTACAGTATGTCTCTTGTGGTGATTTCAGCTGCCTAGTTCACCCGCAGCTCCGGTAAGGTTCGAGTTATAAACAGGAGGTGGACGAAACTGTGACTTTACGCTTGAGAAGTTGTACAAAAATACGTCTTCTTGTGATTTTCCTTCATATTTTATTATAAGGAAGAGATAAATTTAAGCCTTCTTATCTCCCCAGACCATGACGTGTGTGTGTGTGTGTGTGTGTGTGGGTGGGTGGCGGTGTTTCAGGTTCAAGCAGCTCCTCCTCAAAGCTGCTCAGAACCTCTTAAAATTACATTGCTGTCGTGATGTTGTTTTAGATTCTTTTATGATCAAATAGTTGTGGTGGGCGAGACACTGCACACACACACACACACACACACACACACTGCACCACCACGTGAGCAATATGAATGTTTCTCTAGATAAACAGTGTATATTTGAAGGTAAATACAGTTAATTCTTCACACACACGCCCACCCACACCTTACTACCTACCTACCTGGGTAATAACTAGTTTCTCACGACTATAGTACCCCCCCTCTACCTGCTTAGCAAAGTTACTGAACACATATACAGTAATTTATTTTTTATTTTTCAGTTCTACGTCTGTCTGTCTTGTCCGCACGTTCGTCTGAGTATGATTTAAAAACCGCTTCTGGAGTCTTAAAAGTTTACGTATAAATCACCTGTGGGGAAGAGATACCGTTTTACTGAAGTTTAAATGACGGTAAAATTAAGTTCTACTTTTGATTTTTCCAGTAACGGACAGCAATGGTCAGCAACGGATCTCTATAATTAAAACTCAGATTAATTTCAAATTCTGATTTTTGCGGAATGGATTTCAACGACTTTCGATAAAATATTTGATAGGACCGCGGGGAAAGAGAGCTTTCTAATATATATATATATATATATATATATATATATATATATATATATATATATATATATATATATTACTTTTTATTTAATTTATCAAGGTGTTCTCTCTCCCCTCTCTCACACAGATCTGAAGACCTACCCTCCGTACTGCCTGTGCCGGATGGAGTCTCGGATTCACTGCAAGAACCTCAACTTAACTTCAGTACCACAAGATATCGATGAGAATGTTACCGCGCTGTAGGTGTTGTGACCGAGTATTGGTCACTGTGTTTGTGGCTCTGTATATCTTGGGTGTGTGTGGGGGTGTGGGGATTAAGGAGGAGAGGGTGATGGAGGTGTATTTCTCTTACCAACAATATACTTACTCTTGCATATCAAAATTCCAACGTCAATTTATTTATTTAATTATTTTTTCCCAGGTAACGGATGCAGATTTAGATGTGAATTTGGTTGGCGAGTAAAAATCAAATGGCTGTGAGCTGCTGTGACGTTTTGAAAGAATTACAGATTGATTATAAATTATGCAGATAAAAATCCGTTCTCTCATTATCAGCTAATTCACGCAATTCACATCTGGGAAAAAAATTATTTTGTGGTCAGAAGATTAGTTTATTTAGTTCCATCGTGTATGTGCGTGTGTACGCCTGCCTGCCTGTCTGTGTCAGGAAGTTTTAGGACGATTGTTCGTGTATGTACTGTATGTGTGTATATATTTATAAAGTATGGGACATCTATGAATATGTTTTAATCAAATTAGTAACAGATATTCCTCTAGGAATCTTCACTTAACACACTAATTGACCTAATCATGTAAATAATAATGTAGAACATAACCAACCCACAGGTGTGAGAAAAATTAATAACAGGTGTGTCTTTATTGACAGGTTTGGCAACAATACAGCATCATCCTTACATCAGACTCCTTCACAAGATACCCTAAACTGACTCTGTTGTAAGTGACTCCTGTCTGTACTGTGATAATATCCTGTACTGTATGTATGTCTGTAATAATAATATAAGAATACCAATAATAATAATAATCTGACATATTTTAGATATTCGACACAATTTAAACGCTTAGGAATTTACGGTATTCACATAAGACCTTATTTAAGACTCCTTGTAAGATCTAAGACTTACACACACCAGACACAGTCATTAGTACAGTGTGTGTTTGTGTGCTTCCAGACACCTACAGAACAACAGAATTACCTCCCTACCCCGAGTCTTCACCCGCTCACCAAACTCAACAAACTGTAAGTGAAACCAAGTTAATAAGTTTGCTCTTTAGATGTTTTGATGGAACTCTTCTGGTGACGAAAATCTCATAACGAATATGGTTTTTGTATTGTGTGTGTGTGTGTGTTTATACTTTATTAACCTCATCTGTGTATCACGTATGGTTCAATAAAAGTATTTTGTATGTAAATAAATTTGTCAATGTGATGCTGATTTAATCCATTCATATTGGGTATAAAAAAATACGGCGCCCAGCTAGTATTACGCTTTTCATGCCTGGAAAATAGGTATTGATGAAATTGAATTACTCCGACATAACTGCTGTTAATGATAGACCTAAACCAATCACTTGGTTCAATGGGTTTAATAACGAGACAATTACTGTTATCGTCGTTGGATATTAAAGTGATAATGTAAATATCAATTAATTGAGTATTTTATATTGTTAAAAATTATTTGTTTTTCCTGATTATTGATTTTCATGATTAAAACCTAGAAATATTTTGCTATCTCGAATCTGAAATATTTTTTTTTTGGTTATTGGTAATGATTTTATATTTTTATTATCGAGATATAGTCAGAGGAATATTCGCGGATACCATTTTTTTTACAATAGTCAATTTGTGTTTGGAAATTGATTTTATGTATATTTATTTTGTGTGGTTTTGTATTAGATTTCCAAGAATTCCATTTTTATTTCATCGCATTTGTTTTTGTATTTATTTTCAGAAGATCAATTTCAGTTAGGGCTAGGCTGATGCATTATTCTGTCCATAAATGCTTCGGATTCACGAGTTTGAATCTCGGTTCGTGGTTCATGATATAGAGTGAGACAGTGAGAAAGATCTGTTCTCTTGACAGTTGAGTTTATTTCATGTTTCTGTGTTACATCACTAATTGGCTGCCGACATTGTGAGTGTAGCCATGTTGGTGGTTAGAGCAGGATATGGTTGGGTTGTGGCGGATGCATCTTATGTGTATGAGTGGGTGTAAGATTGCGTAGTATGTAAAAACGTGGGATTTATGTACATACAGTATTTGTTTATATATTTGTTTATATCGTACACTTATCTCCCCTACAGGTTCCTCAGTGATAACAAATTGTCGGGGGAAGAGGGAGAGCGTGGGGGGTTAGGGCCTCACAAGCTGAAAATTCTCCACCTCTCTCACAACGCCATCACTCAGTTCGACGCCGTCCTCACCCTCCTGCCTCGTCTTGCTTCCCTGTGAGTACGTCAATGTGAGTCTGCACCGTCAGTAGTTAGTCTACACCGTCAGTAGTTGAATTACCGTTCTTGTGTTTCCGAATACTGACCACCCAAGGTACTATAGTGAGTCTCGATATAAATTATGAGTCGTGATTCATTTAATATACATGGAAGCATTGAGTCAGAGTCAATGTCGTCACTGCGGAATTTATTAGTTTTCTTCATCAGTGGGTGAAACTTATTAACTTGTACAAACGCAATTGAGTCACACGTAATCCAAGTGTAAGTGAGAAGACAGGAAGGGTTTACTGTCGCTCTGTGTTGATACGTAACCCCAGGTACACCACACACACTCTGGGTTCTGAGTAAATGATTCAACTTCGATTTCTGAAGTGGACAGGTCGCTGCCTCCCCATTTTTTGTCCTTTAATTTGTAAAAAAAGTCACCATTGCACATCTATACCCAATATTCGCTTCGTAATTGCTATCATTTACTATTAATTGCACCAAGTCCGAGTACACAGCAGGGTGGCGGTATAGTTTGTGTCGAGTGTGTGGCGTTTGGGTGACTGTAGTGGCAAAGATTAAACACGTATGTCATGAGTATTGAGTTTGTGACTGTCGTTTCAGCTCGGTCCGGTTACAGTTTTAGTTTCTCGTGTATCGTGTTTTGTATTCGGTTAACTGTATCGGTATAACACAAGAACTAGGATAATATTGTTTTCTTATGGCCAAAGTCTTGTAAAATTGCAGGAGGTCACCTTAAAAGCCTACAGTTAGGGTGATTGTAATTGCTATTGTTGTTATAAATACTGTTAACGTCTCCTGTACATACAAAAACTACTCCAAAACCACTACTACTTATCCCGCAATATCTGAACCTTTTACTGGATATTGGCATCGAATCCTTTAAGACATATTTTGATTAAAGACTCGATGGATTTTTTTGTAATGTCAATATATACTACAGCCATCATCATGAAATAGCCAATATCGGTCCAGCCTTCCTGCCCTGATGACCGATACTTGACCTGGATGAGGGCAGCCAAATTGTCGTCGTCTCGAGTCTTCACTCCTCAATCTTGAAATACTGCCCTCCTTCCCCCCTCTTTCTCCTAAAGGGAAATCAGACGTACCTCTCGTTCGATAAGCTAAATTCAGATCTGACAGTGGGCATTCGTGATATCTGACAGAGTGAGTTGATCTTGTTTCTCAGTGAGCTTGAGTTTAATACGCCCGGCTGGAGTAGCGTTATTTGGTTAAGTCTTTGTTTATATTCAACTTGAGGCACGACGATATACCATTGAAATCTACAACTGCTATTATTTCATTCGAGTCTCATATACATGTGCTGGTCAAATTTCCTTCATCTGAACATTGTGTACTACACTGTTCAAAATTACCTCCATCTGAACATTTATACTAGAATTTTCCTGCCTGTTTATATTTCTCTCTCACCTGGAACCTCCTACACCTTGCACTGCCTCATATCTCACCCCCTCCCCGATAAAGCTCTTCCCATATTTCCCCGTCTTTACATGTCCACCACCAGCTTGATTAAGTAGGGAAATCTTATATCACTAACACCCGCTTACCCATCCATCATCACTGCATAGGCGCCGGGTTTTCTCCCCCCCTCTCTCTCTCTCTCTTAAGTGTCCAACGCCAAAAATAATCAAATCTGTAGTCTTTGTCACCAGCGCCGCCAAGTGATCTCATTATGCTCGTCATTTTCAGTAGTGGAAGGACCGTCTGTGAGGCTGTTTATCGTCAGCAGCCAGATCATTTTGTGTTATTTCTCGGGACCTTTTTCTTCTTGTTATACATGATTTTCTGGCCACACACACACACATACATACACACACAACTTGCCCTGTACAACCTATACAATATTGTATTACATTTCCGTTCGAACTTCAAAGCAGATTGTATTATAATTGGCTCGGGTATCTCCCAACCCTCCTCACGGTAACATGATACATTGACTCTGAAGACCCCGTATATTACCTTCCCGTTATCACTGTAGGAGTATAAGGTCGTATATACCATCCCAGGTTACTCTCCATCTCGCCTCATAATCTAATTAGTCTTTTCTATTCCTACAGGTGGCTTAACTTTAACCAGGTGACGCTACGTGGGCGTGAAATGAGCCCCACGCCCACAACCTGACGGACCTGTAAGTACGCCCGTCCCTAAGTGTATTGGTATATATAAAGATGTGTATGAGAGTACATTTATTGTTGTATGTGTGGACGAAACACCTGGTGCACTTAACATGTATAAATTCTACCAAAATACCTATCTTGCCTTCTTGCTCTCATTTGACTGGATGCCTCTCACCCACACCTAAGACAGGTTATGTTTATGTTACTCAGATGGTCAGTAAATGGAGGTGTTCGGCGTCGCATGATACCTAAAGCAGTATCATTCACTGAGCAGGAGGTTGAGCTGAGCTGACTGACTCTTTGGATGACGCACTTGATTTACATTAAGACAAAGCTAATTTACATAGAGATAACAGCTGATGCCACTAGTGAAGACAAAGTTTCTTCCTCTCTCTGTTTACTTTCTCTTTCAGTTTACTTTCTCTGCTTGTTGCCAATCAGTAATTAATTGTCTCCTTTAGTCTTTATTCTCGTTCGTTTGATATTTCGTGTTAATTTTAGTTACGAACAGAATTCAGAATAAACTTTGGACATCTTGCTTCCATCCTAGTGATGTCACATGGAACGCTATGATTGGCTTCTTGTCTCGGTGAAAATAAAGATAAATTTTGAGCATGATTAACTAGGGAGAGAGAGCATTTAAAGAGACAGTGATGACCTGTGTTGCCACGAGTGGAAGTTATGGTAAAAGGGAATGAGGGGGGGAGTGATAAGGAGGAGAGAAGGAATGAATTGAAAAAATTAAGGGAAGAGAATGAGAAAAATTATATGACCTAATCCAACCTGTTACCACCTTACCCCATGATGACTGTGTCGCTGCAGGGCGCTGGAGTATAACCTGGTGGAGGAGCTGACGGAGGACTCCTGAAGGGCTTCGACTAGAGGGCCTGGAGTATCCTGTGATTTGCTTGTTTCCTTTTCCCCACTCCCCTTTAGACGCTTGTAGTTCCTTCTTTAAATATAAACTCTTATTTAAGGTCATGGTATATATTTGGCGTGTGTTGGTAACGATCTTTGCAGCAAGGCCAGTGAATGATGAACATACATGGTAGGGTAAGTAAAGTCAAGATCTATACTCTACTTTACTACCATTATTTACCTCTATCCCATCACTCCCGTTCCTTCTCCATGGCTGACTGGTATAGAGGTGTTGTGTTATGGTTGTTCCACCTCTCCCCATACACAACACAAGGGTTCACTGGTTTACCCTCCCTTATTGCTTTACACAACCCGTCTTTTCCTTCCTGTAAAATCAACTCCACTCATCACTGGCTTTACCTTTACACTGGCAGTTTCTATACAATAATAATACGTATTTACTCCAGACTGGTAAACAAATGTATGTAAACTTGAACGAAAGTATATTTTGGGAAAAATTACCAAGTTTGGGCCCAAAATTAGATTTTGTTGAAATTTACATTGTAAGTACTCGACAACCTGCTTATTTCGAATATATGGTCCACGATTCGATTGCGGGGTAATTAGTAGCTGTAATGACCCTTGGGTAATTTAATTACACATTTCAATGCTAATTACTCAACTATGGGTTTCAAAGTGCGATTTTGGTGTTAATGCGGTATTCTGGAAGTACTTTCGGGAAAGTTGGTTTCTACTTATCATAGAAAACGAAATTTGTATCATAGAAAATGGGAAAATATCTACTTTCCGGGAAAGTTGGTTATCTACTTTTACCGAAAGTAGATTATCTACTTTCGGGAAAGTAGATTATCGCGTTTTCGGGGAGGTAGATTATCGACTTTTGGGAAAATATTACCTAATTTTCCGAAGTAGTTATCATAGAAAACGGGAAATTTGTATCACAGAAAATGGGAAATATCTACTGGGAAAGTTGGTTATCTACTTATCATAGAAAACGAAATTTGTATCATAGAAAATGGAAATATCTACTTTCCGGGAAAGTTGGTTATCATTTTCCGGAAAAGTAGATTATCTACTTTCGGGAAAGTAGATCATCGACTTTTCGGGAAAGTAGATCATCGACTTTTCGGGAGGTAGATTATCGACTTTTGGGAAATATTTCCTAATTTTCCGAAGTAGATTATCATAGAAAACGGGAAATTTGTATCACAGAAAATGAAATATCTACTTTCTGGGAAAGTTGGTTATCTACTTATCATAGAAACCGGGAAATTTGTATCATAGAAAAGGAAATATCTACTTTCCGGAAAGTTGGTATCTACTTTCCCGAAAAGTAGATTATCTACTTTCAGGAAAGTAGATTATCGCGTTTTCGTAGATTATCGACTTTTGGGAAAATATTACCTAATTTTCCGAAGTAGATTATCATAGAAACGGGAAATTTGTATCATAGAAAATGGAAATATCTACTTTCCGAAAGTTGGTTATCTACTTTCGAAAGTAGATTATCTACTTTTCAGGAAAGTAGATTATCGTTTTCGGCGAGGTAGATTATCGACTTTTGGGAAAAATATTACCTAATTTTCCGAAGTAGATTATCATAGAAACGGAAATTTGTATCACAGAAAATGGGAAATATCTACTTTCCGAAAGTTGGTTATCTACTTATCATAGAAAACGGGAATTTGTATCATAGAAAATGGGAAATATCTACTTTCCGAAAGTTGGTTATCTACTTTCCCGAAAAGTAGATTATCTACTTTCAGGAAAGTAGATTATCGATTTTCGGGGAGGTAGATTATCGACTTTTAAAATATTTCTTAATTTTCCGAAGTAGATTATCATAGAAAACGGGAATTTGTATCACAGAAAATGGGAAATATCTACTTTCTGGGAAAGTTGGTTATCTACTTATCATAGAAAACGGGAAATTTGTATCATAGAAAATGGGAAATATCTACTTTCCGGGAAAGTTGTTATTCACTTTCCCGAAAAGTAGATTATCTACTTTTCAGGAAAGTAGATTATCGCGTTTTCGGGAGGTAGATTATCGACTTTTGGGAAAATATTACCTAATTTTCCAAGTAGATTTATGAAAACGGGAAATTTTATCATAGAATGGGAATATCTACTTTCGGAAAGTGTTATTTACTTTCCGAAAAGTATTTCATTTTCAGGAAAGTAGATTATCGACTTTTCGGGAGGTAGATTATCGACTTTTGGGAAATATTTCTAATTTTCCGAAGTAGATTATCATAGAAAACGGGAAATTTGTATCACAGAAAATGGGAAATATCTTCAAAGTTATCTACTTATCATAGAAAACGGGAAATTTGTACATAGAAAATGGGAAATATCTACTTTCCGGGAAAGTTGGTTATCTACTTTCCCGAAAAGTAGATTATCTACTTTTCAGGAAAGTAGATTATCGCGTTTCGGGGAGGTAGATTATCGACTTTGGGGAAAATATTACCTAATTTTCCGAATAGATTATCATAGAAAACGGGAAATTTGTATCATAGAAAATGGGAAATATCTACTTTCCGAAAGTTGGTTATCTATTTTCCCGAAGTAGATTATCTACTTTTCAGGAAAGTAGATTATCGACTTTTCGGGGAGGTAGATTATCGACTTTTGGGAAATATTTTAATTTTCCGAAGTAGATTATCATAGAAAACGGAAATTAGTATCATAGAAAATGGGAAATATCTACTTTCCGAAAGTTGGTTATATTTCGAAAAAGTAGATTATCTACTTTCGAAAGTAGATTATCGACTTTTCGGGGAGGTAGATTATCGACATTTGGGAAATATTTCCTAATTTTCTGAAGTAGATTCTCATAGAAACGGGAAATTTGTATCATAGAAAATGGGAAATATCTACTTTCCGGGAAAGTTGGTTATCTACTTTTCGGGAAAGTAATTATCCCGCAATTGAATTGTGGACTATATATTCGAAATGAGCATGATCTGGAGCACCTATAGTCTGTTTTATTTCTTTTGATATGATAGTAATCGTATTCCAGGTTGCGTTATCTCTTCCACGTATTTCAGGTTTGAGGATAATATTTTATCTCTATATGGATATCTCTTACGCTTAATGCTGTGGGGATATGACGTTACTGCTTTTTGTATTTATATCTACATAATTCTCTTACCCCTGTCGTATAAATTGAATATTCCTGTAGGTGGTGTGGGAGGGAGGAGGGTGTGTTTGTAGTAGTAGTAGTAGTAGTAGTAGTAATAATAATAATAATAATAATAAACGGTTTAATAATAGAGTTGCAGCCGGTGGCTGAAAATATACAGACTTACATTAGATTTAGACATAATATAATATGCATTGAATACATTTACAGGGCTGTGCAGTAATAAATCAGAGTTGTTTATTATTTTAACAATAGATGGGATGGTGCTGTTCTTACATCTATCGGTGCGGGCTCTGCTGAAATTTGTTGTAGTGGCGGACTGCGCGAGTTGGGTGGGGGCTGCAGGTGGCGAGGGTGGTGTAGTAGTCCACGGCCAAACCTTCCAGTGCTTGATGGTGGAGGTCACATGGCACAGGGTGGAGAGAGCGTTGGTGTAGCCGGAGTATTCTGCGCCGAGCACTGCAGGCCCTTTCTGTACCTTCTCTAGCTGACGTTGTTGGGTGGAGTTGAGAGAATTAATTAGCTGGGACGCACAGAATAAAGGCGTTGTAGATGGTCCTCAGCTCTGGCGTGGGTGTCCCAAGTGACCAAGTCTTCGTAGCATGTAGAGACGGTACGAGGCTGCCTTGACTGTGTTATTTACATGGGCCTTCCAGTCAAGTTTGTTGTCTATAGTTACACCCAGGAGTTTGGCAGACTGCACCAGCTGGAGAGGATGGGCACCCACTGTGACTGCTGGGGCTTGCACTGGAGTGGTGGCGGTATTGATGTGCATGACTACGGTTTTGGTGTGGTTGATGGTGACCTTGTTCTCGTAGTCCATGCCTGCAGCCTGTCCAGGGTGTCTTGTAGCGATGAGTAGTCTGGTGGTGTTGTCCACTGAATCCCACAGTGCAGTCATCCACACATTTAATATACAGAAGATGTAAGGAAACGGTGTGTGTGTGTGTTCGAGTGGAATAACAGATGCTTTGCTTATGCGGATGTCTGTTTGTAACGCAAAAATCAGACAGACAGACTCACTCACTCACCCTCACACACACACCATTTCCTTACATCTTCTGTGTATTAAATGTGTTTGGCCATTATTCTCCAAACAATAAATCACAACAAACAACAAAATATATAATACACACCTCACAATCCTACAGTAGTGGACAGACGCCTCACAACAAAGAATATACCCAATATAGCGAATTCAAAAGGTTCCACTATGAAGGCCATGAGAATCTATGACAAGCTTGGGAAGTTGGGGGATGGAGGGGGGTGAGAGGAGACGTAATGTGAGGAGGGAATGTGTGTGTGTGTGATATATAAATTTTGAGAGGATGTAAAAGGTAACCCAAAAGCATACAAGACTAACTCACAGGTGATACTAGCAGGAGACGATCACATTAATGTCACCTTCAACCAGAAAAGTCAACATGGATTCACACCTGATGCTTTACCACAGATGACACGGGAGGTAGAAGGAGCCACTGACACCATCACGATATCAACCCCAGCAGTATAGTGTTTCAGAGAGAATACCCGAGTAGTGGTCCCATAGGCTCGAATAATTTGTCTAGAATAGTATCATGTAACCGATGTCTTCCTTCTGTTACGGTGAATTAATTAAGAGATGTAATTAAACACCTGGATGATAATAGCCACAGGTAATGACAACACAGCAATAGCTTAATTATTTCACCTGGTCCTTATAAACACGTATTCAATCCTCACTAATGTTTTCGTAAATACAAAATAATAATAATATAATTTGGGTTTACTTAAGTCTGACCTCTATTTACTGCTCTATAATTACATTTTCTTCAATCATCTGGACAGGTTTCACATTTACCTGTTGAAACTAAAAGCTAGTGAAGGTTAGGTTAGGTTAAGTTAATATTAGTGTTTAATCTTCAGGTGAAATAAAACAAGTGTGCCTAATCTTCAGGTGACCCGACACAGGTCCTTCAGGCAAAATAACATCAATAAACAGATAAACCTGACTGATATGAAGGAGGTCAGATAAGAGTGCCGCTTCTATCATTCACCCATGACATTTCCAACCTTTACACACACACACAGACAAACAATTTCTTCACACAGCCAAACAGTGGAAATTCTCTGCTCCTCCTGTGTTTCCATACTTACAATCTGTCTCACTTAAAAAGCTGGTTTTCCGGCATCTTCGTGGTGTAGTTTAACACAGTATAACCTTTTCTTCTCTATTAATTTCTTTCCGCCCCCAGGCTCCGTTGTGGGTCGTTTGACCTGTTTCCGGGTGGGCTAATTCCCGGAAAAAAAAAAAAAAAAAAAAAAAAATTATAATAAATACAGGGGTATAACCCTCAGGTAAGAGGCCTGTGTAGTAGGTATCATGACACCCACCTACACTAACTCTCTCAATATTTAAGATATTGAATTAATTCAGAAGAGGATTTTGCTCAATAACAAGGAATCTGGGTCGAGGCTCCAGTAAGCTCCTTAAATACGCTTCTGGAATAAATAATGTTTATTTTTCCACGACTCCGAGCAGATTAAATGGACATTTTATTTAACTTGTGTGTTTGATTTTCCGACATGATTTATTTTTGTTCAGGTCGAGAATGTCATGAGACATTTACTTTGTGATGGGAATTAAGTCGACATAAATAAACTTGGGGAATAAAATGGCATCGATATTGTGCTGTGACTTGACCAGGGGAAATGGGGAATGGCTTGTGGGTCATTAAGAGCTCGATCCCTTTTTATGCGAGGTTGTGTATAAACATTTTTCCGTACCAACATTTGAAGAGATGTACTGAGAAAAAAAATCCTCTGCTGGTGAAATTTAAATCCGTCGTATTTTCGTAAAGGTTTTCCGTTTAGGGGCAGTTAATGAGCTCCTCCTGCCCCTCCCCAACAACACACCCGACCATCTTTTAGGGGTGGGAGCAAACACCCTTGATCTTTTTCTTTCCTACTACACTAAACCTTAACTCCATTACTCCTTCTTAGTCAAGGATCTTGTGTCTTGTTTCTATGAGCTGATATCTTGACCTGTCCTCTCAAACGCTCTTCGTCCATATTCAGTTGGGTGGAAAGTGTGTAGTTCTCAGCTTCCTGATATCTCATTTACTGAAACTTCAAACTGTGTGACTGGGTCTGGTATTCTTGGAACTACTCGTCACCGCCCCTCCATCATGCTCCTTATCTTCCCAGTCACACAACATGGACTAACTCTGGAAACTATAGCCCCATCTACGATACCATACTGCAGTACCTGGCAACACGATAACACTGCTAACGTTACATCAACACAGCCAAAAGACAGTTGTCCATTAGCAGAAGCGCGGCAGTCTCTTAACATGCGCTCAAATAGTAATGATTTGTTATCATCCTAACATTCTACCTTAACTCGCCCTCACCTTGCTCCTGGAATAACATCCCATTTAAAGGTAGATCTTCTCGGTTCCATGTTGGCTTATTGTTCCGTCACTGATCCAGACCTTTATCACCCTCCCATCAATCGTCTCCTCTCACCCTGCCCAATCCCAAAGTTTATTCACAGCATGTTTTCTGCTCTCTAGCACTTACTTCCTACAAACCTCAAGACACATGGTATCCTTGCACTAAGTTCTTCTGTGATGTGTCATTGTATTCGTTTAGTTATCTCCAGAATTCAGACATCTACGCTCTTGCCTTCTCTGGGTCATGGGAACTTGCTGGTATACAACACATAACTAGAGAGAGAGAGAGTATGGAGTGTTAGTGTACTCTTATTGCTCCAGTTATTATATTTTATGGTGAGGTTTAGATTTAGTGATTATATATCATAGTGGTATAGTTGTAGAATTTATGGGGAGGGGCGTGTTAAAAACTCGCTTAGTATCGTAACAACTGCTTAATCTTTCATTCGCCGGAACATCATGACTAGATCTCCTGGTGCACTCATCGGTCACCTCCAACTAGAAGCTTGTCATATGAAATGTAAAGGCATCTTATGCATTGCTTAATTATTATTATTTGTCTTACCTTGAGAGAAGAGACTAAGACGAGGTTAGAGCAGAGGAATTTGTCTGTTGCTGCTATCATTTACATTCTCTCTTGGAGCAGATCTCAAAATAATTAACAGGGACTTAATAAACAGATGGCACAAGGCAGCTGATGTGTCACCTGCAGTCAGCCTAAGGGACAAGCGTCGTTGGAGTCTGGCAACACCGACAAGTTTGAGGTCTTTTGATGATTTTCAGACACTAATTTTTTCCTCAGATAAATTCACATCCATATTTTGTCGAAATAAGTGTTGCACCGCCATACCAGTCTGGGCGTTGCCGACCTGGAAAATCTTCCGCCGTTCCCAGACGCTGATGCTTAAATTAATTTTCTGCATAATGCTTCCCAGAGGACTAAATGCCTCTGTCATCTCCGGCCGGCGTAGTAGTCCATTTGACTTGGTATAATGCAGCGATTGATCTCATACAATTCTCAACATTTGTGTATTATTTCTAGGTTGAGATAGTTTCTTTATGGCTTTCGGAGAGTTATTACTTGTTGCATGGGAGGAGCCGTGAAACTATGATTGGGAGATTGGACGTATCTGTGATGACCAATTTCTCTCTCCCCTCTCATCATCTCTCCAACTCGGTATTCCGCTAGACAGAACTTGGAAACAAGTCAACAACTCACGGCATACATATATCATGTGTCAGGACATATCAAAGAACTTTCAACTTGGTTCCCTTTTGCTGCTCTCGTGGCCCTCAGGTGAACAGATCCGTTTCCCTACATGGATCGGTAAGACGGGAAAATCAATAGATAGACATTAGATGTATTTTTCTCTTGTCAGGAGTCTTAATTTTTCACCTTCAGTGTGTTATTAAACTCATACATAACGTTATCTTCTGCTAAAACAGGCGATGAATCCAGTTTAGATCATGTATTGTTCTCACGATGGTATTCAGCATCTTCGTTGTCCAGTTAAGTTTCCAGGTTCTGCTTGGCTGGCAGAAGCAAACGTACGTACGTACATGAGTATGCGTGCGCGCGCGCTTCTGTAAGGTTCTTGTTCCTGTATGACAAATGTCAACTTCTTGAACTACCAACTGCTATCTGTTATTACTAATTCATCAACAACACCTACTGTTATTATACCTCTATCGACTAATACTACCGCTACTACTATTACTGCTACTACTACTACCAACAACATTTGAACTAGATTATCACTTCCCTCTGACTACTACGTCACGATATGGATACCACAACCATTAACGTTAACTCTCTCGGTGTTGGCAGATATTTACGTCACAACAAGATCAAAGTGATTCACGACGGAGCCTTCCAACACCTGGATAAGCTGTTAGACCTGTGAGTATATACCATCACTACTGCTGCAGCTACCATGAACCATTCCCTTCCTAGTCATACCATCACTCCTATACCCATCACCACTGATGCTACTACCGTCACTACTTATCGATACTACCATCATTACTACCGACAGTCACTACTTGTGTGTTATAAAGGCCAAAGGTAAGAGGTTTTTATAATGTGGCTCGGTCAACATTATTATTATATAGTAGGTCATAATGTCCTCACTGCCCTTCACTTCACGAGGAAGAACGAGACAACCCGGAATGTTAAAATATAAACTTAAAATTTATCTCCGTTAAAATCAACAGTACCAGAAGAGTCTAGATTAATTTGTCCCTCAACTAAGTCATCTGTCAGTGTTGTCGTTGTGAATGCATTTCCACTTCGCATAAAACCTTGTCGCTTGTTAACACAGTGAATACATCCCCAGCCATCCATATAATAACACAAGGCTTCGAGTTTATTTGATGTTGCGGAGTTAATCAAAAGAATCTCAAACACGTCGACGACTTTCACCATGATGCACAATAATGGTAAATTGTGAGCGCGGATTCCTCCGTATTTTGTTGAAAGACCAGAGTGCGGAACATATTCTCTCAATGAGGAAGTGTTTAATTGCGTTACTCAGTTTAATTCAAAGTTCCTTATTAAAAACAGGAATTTGATTTGATAAGAAATATTTTAAACTCCAGAGAGGAAAGTTTTAATGGTTCTTGTCAACTTTTAAGAATCATAAAATGGCAGTTTAAAATGTCGAAATAAGGTTGTTAGTTATATATATATATATATATATATATATATATATATATATATATATATATATATATATATATATATATATATATATATATATATATATATATATATATATATATATATTTTTTATGATAAAATATTTATTCGCCCATGTTGAAGTGTGTGAGGGTGAGTTTAGAGAGAAACTTTATATGCATTGTGTTGAACAGTTGCAGGGCACCATGTGTAGCTTGTGTTCATTAAAGCTATCCTATATGGGGGACACCATGGCCTTGTGATGCAGTACACACACATCACATTTCATTTCATTTCACATTCACTTCTATTATCAACATTTACATGAAACCAATTTGAATAGCATTTTTCCAATACTATCGTTTATTTAGTTATTTTGTTTTACTATACAAGTGTTGCTCGTCTGTGTGTGTGTGTGTGTGATTCATTCGGTGTTGATCATGTTACAGAGAGCTCAACTACAACAGAATCGAGCACCTCCACGCCAGCACCTTCAAGGGCCTCATATCTCTGGTCAACCTGTGAGTACTATACAGTATGTCTTTCCGAGTCAGTCAAGTATGATGGCTTTATTCAGCATTATTTATTCCATTATTTTATAAACCACGTTAAAAAGTGTTAGTTCAGGAAATTAATATGAAAAGTGTGGAAGGTCGGATTACTTTTTTTTGTGTATTTTACAATTTTAAAACAAATATATACCCTTTTCACGGATTTATGCTCGTTATCAACTAAAAAAGTGTGGAGGTCGTTGGAATTTACCTGTTTGAAAATTCTAAAAACGCATTTCTTTAGTTTTGTCTAGTGTTTAATCCTTTATCTTCAACTCATGACTTTTTTTTTTTAATTTATTGGGCACCCCTACATCCTTGTGTAAGGTGAAGCGCAGAAGCGTGTACAGCGCCCAACAGGGAAGCATGCTAAGTTCATGCTTGCCTTATGTCTCATGAGTTAAGAGCGTAAAGCCTGAAGAGTCGAGGGCGTAGAAGCCTGAAAGAGTCAATGGTTTAGTCTAAGCAAGTTATGGAAACTCCAACAACTTGTCCTGAATCTGAATTTGCAACTTTCGATTTACAGCAGGTACCTACTTTGCTGCTAGGTGAACAGGGACCAGGGGACTAGGAAGTCCAAACAACTTCCGCCGGCCGGAATCGAACCCGTGACATCTTGCTTGCGAGGCAAGAACGGTACCGCTCTACCACCAGCGCCCCCATAAAACTCATGACTAAAACGGATTTTTTAATATTACACAGTTAGGTCTGATGGTTCACCTGGGCTTTTGTTGGAAATAATTGTCCTCCAAACCCAGTAAAAAAATAAAAAAATAAAAAAAATAAAAAAAAATGAATGGGAAATTAAAATTTGTTGATAAGCGTAGTTTCATTTGATTTTCTGAAGGCAATAAAATCAATCCAGTGTTATTGTTTTTAGTTGGAGGCTGAGAATCAACAGTATTTTATTACAACCTCTCTCTCTCTTCAGGAATTTGGAGGGCAATCCGCTGGTCGTGGTAGCGGCACTTACCCTCATACAACTTCCAAATGGACTCTCTGTAAGTATGTAATGGTTGTAGTAGGATGTTGCCTCAGGTGTACATCTCCAAACGGCAGGTGACACACAGGTTTACTCGTTTTTACCTGGAAGTAGACTGGTCTTAATTGACATGAGAGAGACAGACAGATGAGCAATTTTCTAAGTGATGGTAGTCAGGTGTACACAGTTACAGGCACTTGATCTTGGAACCCCAACACATGTTAATTATAGCCAGGTGCTGCTCAGGTACTGTTGATCACTTACACTGGCGTTTTCCACCGGATATATGGGGGCCTTATTACATGGAAGAGGCAAATCATAATGCTCTGTGTAGGCTTATGAAGGAATTTGTGAGTGTTTTGTGGTGTAAATGGGTGGCTTTATATCAATGCATATAAACTTGTTTCTTGGTTTGATATTGTCGTTTATAACTTATCGATCACTTTGGATTTGGTATGTAACCGGTAATTATCTTGTCAGTCATTTATAAAATTTTTTTATATCTTCTCTGCTTTATCTTTTACTACATGAGATTGTTTGTGGGGAGAGACTCAATTTTGATTACGACAGTTTTAATACCTGTTCGGTTCTCTTCGTCAGGCGTATGGAGAACATAGAGCTGACCACTGACCTACTGGTGAACATCTCGGCCGATCTCACCCGCGTCCACCCGCAACGTCACCCACGCGTGAGTACTCTATACCTGGTGTGTTATGTGTAGGTGCCTGTGTATTTGTTGTGTTTATATATATTCATGTCTATTGCTTTTGTTCTCCGTTCGCTGTCTTCATCATCGCCCTTCTTTCATCGTCACCCATTCATCATCGGTGATCAAGAACGTTATTCATTAATGTTCAGTGTCTTCATTCATCATCACCACCTTCATTTATCACCATTATACAAATACTGACGGTGAGTATTGTGATGGAAAACTAATATTCATTCATTTTATCTCTCATTTCTGCTGTCTGTGCTAATTGCCTTCGGTCTGGGCCTGGAGGAGCGTGGTGTGTGTGTGTGTGTGTGTGTGTGTCCCTCGTACACCACAGTCAGTAATATTGCCCGTGTGAATATTCAGCGTAGACTTGAGTGTGGTGTGTTGAATGTAACCTAAAGTGGATGAATTGAATGTATATCTTTAGGTAAAGTACAATATTATTACGGTATTTTAAGGCGTTAATATTTTATTTATATACTGTACGTTGGTACAGTCATTCATAAGTTTGTATTATTATTAAACTACATGTAAATAGTATCAGTATTATAATTTTTTATTAATACAGTATACTTTGAAGATAATGACAAGTTATTATTCATGTATAATATATTCAGTAATTTAATTAATTTGCCCAAGTCATTTAGTCTCCGTTAGTTTTGTTAATTAATCAGTCAGTGTTTGCAAGTGTAGGCAAGGGCAGACCATACACGTGTTACCTGAGTGGCACAGGTGTGTTCTGTTGCTCCGTGTCACCTGTTGCTAAATAATGCTACCTTACATACCTCTCATGAGCTGCCTGATGCTACTAACTGAAGACCGATAGAGCAGTGTAGTACCTAGTGTAGTGTTTTATTTTTTTTCGTGTATGTGGGAGTGAGGACAGGTATATGCTATATGTACCTGGTGTCTCTTCTTCTTTCTCAGTGGTGTGTGTGTGCACATGTGTGTTTATAAATGCATGTGCTTTTGTGTGTTTGTATATACGTGTTTGATGCACAGTTTAATTGATTTTTTAAGTACAATATTCTAAATATATTTAATTATTTCATAAGTCGTTAATTAACACCAGTTACTCGAATTTTCAAATTGTGAACCTAGATCCTTAATCAGCATGTAGGTAGTATCTTTGTATGAAATTTAAACAAAATCTATGTTTATGACTCCAAGTGGTGAAAACTACGGTATTAAGTCAGGCGTATTTTTCACGCTAATCTATATTTTGGGGAAAGTGAAAACTAACGTGTTTATATAGTAAAGTTAGTCTATATTTTTAGAAAAATGTATATAGAAGAGATTGAAAACTTGCCATTAATCATAAAAATACATTCAGGATGATTTAATAAACATTTATACTTTTTCCGTATAAAAATATATGAAAGGCCAAATTTGAAAAACACAAACCTTGTTCAGTGCTTATACATACATACATGATATAGCCATACTGTACAACGTTTAGTATCATGTCTCTCTCTCTGTGTCTAGATACTTCAAGAGGTTCCGTTACTGTGGTTACTTACTTCATGTACTGGACTGTCGACCCAAGACTGACGGTGAGTACCTGGCTGTGTTACCTGGTTGATCCTCTCACCTGGCCTGACCAATGATGTTTATTTAACGACTGAATGTGTGAATGATATTAAGTCTTCTTTTTATGTTTTTATCACGTTTACTATGCTGTTGTCTCTTGTGTATTGTGTTTGATCATTTCGCTCTCATTTGCAAATAGTATTTTAATATTTCGTTGTATCTTGTATAAGTTTTACCACGGGGCGTCAGTCTATTCAACAGGTAAGTGGATCTCGCTGTGGAATTATTCTAAATATTGTAAACAAAAATATTTCAACACCTTTAATTTCAAATCGGCTTAATGAACCATGAAATAAGCAATTACTCTCAATTCGGGTATTTTACTTGATGTGAGAGGCCGGGGGTAACCTGGTAAGAATGGAGGGATTGGAGAGGGAAGGAAGTTTGGTCTGCCCACTCTACAAAATCCTTCAGGCACCGTTTACTGGCTGTAAAACTTTGCATGTCTGAAAAATTCCCCCAGGTTCTGTGTTAGTGTTTATAGTAGAAAAGCTTATGATGCAGGCGCTTCTCAGGGGTGGATGACGATCACTTGGTCTCCCGGATCATATTAACTTTAGACGGGGTGTTAAGAACTTTTATCTCCCCGATTCCTTACATCCACAAAAGTTGGGTATGTGCAATTTATATCAGGTCCCCACCCCCAAATATTGGTTGGTGCCTGGATCCGCACCTGACATCCAGTCGTGATAAAAGTCTAGTTCAAATAGATATTAATAATTTATACAGAAAATAAATATTTTAATTCAAGAAAATTTCCTTCAGGAAATGCGCTGAAATCAAACGTTTTAATGTTGACATCCTTGGAAAATTTACATACTAGACGGTAAAATATTTTAAATGAGTATATAATTTCTCTAGGCAAGAAGCGCAGTTTAAAGAAAAAATCTGAAACTTTTAGAGGGTGAGTAAGACCTTGGTAGCGTCCCCAGGTGAGACTTAACGCCGGCTGAGGGTCGAGAAGCTTGTTAACAGGTGGGGTTCACAACACCAAACTTAGCGTTTATTTCATCTCTAGACATCCAGACTCTCCCATTACCTATCACGCTACAATTCTCCCACACGTTCTTTAATTAGTCACCTAAACACTTAATTAATCTTTTCATACAGGTGTGTCCTCATTTGAACATTTAATGGTAAGGATGGAGCTACGGGTAGCAGTGTGGTTGGTGGCCTGGTGACTCTGGTGGGGAACCTGATGGTGCTTAGTGGACGCGTTCTCTCCCGTGACGACAACAAGATCCTCTCCCTCTTCATCCGTAACCTGGCAGGTCAGTGATGCACGTAGGATAATTATCTGCTTGTGTACAGCTACAGGCCGGTACTAGGGTATACATTGTACAGGTTGTCAAGCGCTCTACAGGTTGAATCTGGTGATATACATGTACTGGTTAAATGCATATACTTCTCTGTCATAATCTGTGCCATACAAGACATATCCTAGAAAAAATAAAGGTTATTCACATGACTGTCAAGCGTACTTAAAGTTGTTGCTATTAGCCCAGATTTCTCTAGACCAACTAGACATTATGACTGTAGAACTTATTAGTTGCCTCAGAGGAAATGCTATTACCCCCCTCCCCACCAAAAATAAATAAATGGTAATAAAGAAATACATCAAATTATGCTAAAGTTTGTTTCGATATCATCTCTAATAGCTTAAGTGAAGTTTTTCACTCCTTTGTATTATCGTCCTAACACGTCACTACCCTGTTCACCCACAGTGGCTGACCTGCTGACGGGTTTTATCTGTGGTGGTGGCCGCCAAGGACCTACAGTTCGGTCGAGTACCACGAACACGCCTACTACTGGATGACCTCCTGGCAGTGTACCCTCACCGGCGTCCTGGCCATGACGTCAGCCGAGGTGAGATGCCACTAGGTCATATGTTAAGAACTGTGACGTCACTAAGCTGTTTCCTCTCCCCAATGGCCATCTAGTATATAATTATTACCACATTGACACACCTACACCAGATCAAAGACTCAATTTTCAAAATATCATCGTTGTTGGTGCCTACACACTGTCTGTAAGATAATTAATTCTGGGATTACTTCGTCAATATCAGTGAGGTTACAACGAAAGTTTACCAGTAGCAATATATGTTGTATTTCTAATAATTATAGATGTAGGAGTGCTAGTAGTTATCGACATACGAAAACCAATAGTTTGTCGTATAATCACTAATAACAATGACCTTGGTGTCTTGAAGGTGTCGGTCTTGATCCTGTCGTTTATGTCTGTGGAGCGGTGGGTATGCATCACCTGGCCCTTGCGGCACAAGCTCTCCCTGGAGGGCCAAGGTCGCCCTCACCTGCATCTGGGCACTCAGCTTCCTTTTGGCCGTCACCCCAGGTAAGTCTCTTGACAGGTATTAATTACTTTGCGTGTAGGACTTAGTTGACACATGGCATTACTTGAATACCTGTAGGATTAATGGTGCATATGAGTTGTGTAAGCTTGATAATTGTAGGATTTTCAGTATAAATGAAGCGTGTAAATGAGATTATAACGGAGATTTACTGAATAGCTGATGAATTTATATTGTAATTGACTTGTAGAATAAACTAAATTTACATTATAGTTAAGGATATATAATTTATAAGTTGTGTGAACAGTGAGTATACTGGATAGCTGAACATTTGTTTGAAGCAAAGCATTTTTTAAATGAGTAAACACAATATGTTATATACTTCAATTCTTACTCATAATAAATTGAGTCATAATGTAAGCAAGACAGACAGAGTTGTTTACAAATTTTGACTCGCTTGTCTCTCTCTCCCTGGGTGCATCAGTTCTCTATTACCAAGGGCAGCCGAGGTTCTATGGTACAATGGGTTGTGCTTCCGCTGCATCTGGACGACCCTGGGTGCCCGGCTGTTCTATTCAGCTCTCATCTTTGTTGGCCTTAACCAAATTGGGTGAGTCGTGTTATTGTTAACTCACCGTACAGAACATCCTCGTCAGTGGTTTAAAGATGTCATATCTCCTACCTGTAGTGTACATTGTTCAAAAGTTACTCAGTCTCGTGTTCACTGTTCATAATTTTCATTAACAGATCTAAGAACCACTACATCTGCTAACTACACCTTGTTCAGTGTTCAGAATCTGTGATGACACTCGCCCTCATTCCTTCGTGTTTGATGTTCTGAGTCCACAGCATCTTTCTTTTGTGATGACACCTCTCTCTCTCCCTCCCTCAGTGTGGTACTGATCTTAATGTCGTACACTGGGATGTTCTGCAGCATCCGTAGGACAAGAGCCAACACACCGCTCTCCTGGGCGATCGAGAGTTCGCCATGCTTCTTCTTCATAGTCTTCACCGACTGCCTCTGCTGGACGCCCATTATCATCCTCCGCATCATGGCACTTGCCGACATCCCCATCACGCGTCAGTATCAATAAATGGGTTAATTTTCTTGGGGTTCCTGAAGATAGTGTGTAACATCCTCAGCATGTTAGTTCTGGCCTCCACCATGAGTCACTGGCCACTGTAACCACAGGTTTGGTTATGAAGACTACCCGTGTTTCCATTGATTTTCACAACACTTGTTTGGGGAATTTGTGTATGAAATTATCACTGGGTTGGAAACGTTGTATTTTGTAGTAAAAAGTACTTATTTGGGGAAAGGTGGAGATTGAATTAAATGAATCTTGTATCTGACATATGGTTTTTCCTCCCTTTCACTACAGCCAAGCTCTCGCCTACGTGGTGGTGGTGTTGTTGCCCATAAACTCAGCCTCAACCCTTCCTCTACACCTTCACCACCACCAAGTTTCGCTCCCAGGTTCGACGCTTTCTCACGGGGCGGGGCGTGTGTCGCTGGCCACACCGGAGATTCTGGTGAGTGTGTATGTGTACACTGTATTGTATACGTTAGGCATTTTATGGGGTGTAATGGTCCGCTAGCTCGCCTTGCAAGTGAGTGGACGTGGGTTCGATCCCCGGGCAGGGTGAAACTATGGGCAAGTTTCTCTGTGCCATTTATCTCCGTCTTCCCAGCAATAATTGGAAACCTAGATGTTAATCAATTTGAGGATCGTGTTCTGGGGTAATGGTTAGCCAGTGCGGTTGGCGATTGTCTGGTCTTCTTGGATATTCCTTGATAGTGGGTTATACAGCGCTTTAACTGAGGATGTGGTGTTGGTGACAGCTTCTACACTTCAAAAAATTTATGCCTAGGTGGTCCCAGGGCCGGCCATCCCTAATCACGAGGGGCAACCATTATATATTATTACAGTATTATTAAGTGTGTGTGCAATCATATGTATCTGCTACTTGGTGTATGTTTGTTTTAGGTATTTGTATATATTCTCCATGTGCGTGCATGTATTTCATGGTGTGTGTGTGTGTGTGTGTGCATTTATGTGTGTTAGCTACTTTTAGTGTATATTTGTTTTAAATGGTTGTGTGTGTGTTAGATGTTTTATGTGTACAATGAAAGAATGGAGAGATTTAAATTTTCCCATAAGTGAAATTGAGAGTTAAGTTTTGTCAATCTATTTTGTGCGGTAGCTTAAGGAACAAGTTAAATACAATGTCACATCTCCCTTCCTTCCGTCAGACTCAGAGGTTACCAGGACGTCTTTCTTCAGGAGTGCCACCTACAGGCTCACCAAGGCAGGACCTCTGCATCTGCACAATGGCGCCTCCCACAACCTCGATGACACCACGCTCGCCGAGGTTTCAAGGGTCTCCTGGTCAGGACGAGATCTCCCAAAGCCGAGACCAAGCTGTGAGTCTCTCTATTTGTCGATGCCAAGGGAAACCAATGTGTGATTTCAATGGAGACTTTTTCCTGCGACTTATTTTCAAGTTAAAGTGAGTGATGTAAAGTTCCTGTTCAGGTGATGATGATCTGGACGGCGTCATACTAAGGTCATATTCAGAACTCTGCCTCATAGGTTATAATAAGCATAATGTTGATACTGCCATATTGCAGTCAAGTATGGCGTCATGTACATAAAACTGACACAGAATGAGGAAAAATTCAGTGTACGGTGAATGTGTTTAGGCATATTATTTCTTGATCTCGTATAAATATAAAATAGTGCCACTTAACAAAACATACAAAGATCACAAATTCTCTTTTAAAAGTTTAATATGAACCAGAACTCGCAAGCATAACCAACCCAATAACTCAATGTGCTCTCCATAATCCTGCAAGAAAAACAACTCTGAATGTTGCGCCATCTACTGCATGCGGTGGTGTTCATTTAGAGCACTAATATCTAGGATGAGATGCAATCATCTTTGTACATCCCTGGTGGTGAGAACTCGGTGTACTGTACTGTATTTATATAAACACTGGATGTTGTCAGTGTTTACTAGAGGAATAGTGTATAGTGTGTTCAGCAAAAGTGTAAGTTTCTGCTCTCTTTCTGTTACGTGTCTCGGTATTATCAAGAAACGGAAGGTACCCGTTCAAATTAAAGGTACCATACTAAGGTGCTATGAACAATGTGCCTCGAGGTATCACAAGCCACATAAAAGAGGTGTCAGGAAGGTGCTTTTAGTGGTACAGTACAAAGAACCAGCTGGTGATACAGTAAACAGGAAGTTGATACAGTTAATCAGAAGGTGATACAGTGAACCGTTAGTTGATACAGTTAATCAGGTGATACAGTGAACCATAAGTGAACAAGGTAATACAGTAAACGAGGTGATACAGTGAACCAGAAGGTGATAGTGAACCCAAAGATAAAAATAGCATAGTTTTCCTATGGCAATATTGACAACCTAAAATAGAAGTAACAAAACTTTTGATTCTTTGGTTGAATGGTTCCCACCGATTTACCACGGTGTTGTGTAAATGTATACTTGGTGTGTATAATATTTTATGTAAACTAAGCTTATGTATACTGTGCAGAAACACAACGCACACCACTGCAAGAAACGAGTTTTTGAACAGTATGTGACCCTGGCTCTGTTATGTACATCAGAGTTAATTATGATTGCTTGTATTAATTAAGTTTGTGCCATGACATTTTTTATATATGGACGAAAGCAAGATGCTCGATTTTTTTAAAATATATAACGGAAGTCGGGGGTGGGAGGAAGGGTGGTATCAAACCACTGTTGATGACGCATCTACTCAGTGGGTCCCCTTACCCAAAACTAATGGTGTATTGAACAGTTGTGGGTTTGTATGATTTTGGTAAGCAGGGCTTCATGTTGGCAGTGTCATAAAGGCTCGAGACCTCCTAGGTGCTCTCGTAGGCTAATAGTGGATGTAATGTGATAACACTTGTTTAAACAATAACTGGAATTATTTATAGAACTGGGAGTGATGGGATTTCCTACTGATTTTTCTATGAAGGTAGTTAGCGTTGATTGCTCTGATATATTTTTTCTCATGAAGAGTGGAGGAAGGTGCCATGCAGTGTGTGTGTGGAAAACCATGTTCCCCACTCAACTGTGCATGCAAGATCTGGTGGGAAGCAAGGTGGGAGCCACAAGAGAATGAGGGCCGGGTAATAAGCGAGATGGAGGTAAAGCAGGTGTCTTACGTCTTCAAATATCGAGGATCTGTGCGATGGGTTGTGTGAGATAAGAGGTAGTATTCCCCCCCTCCCCCTTCACGCCAATTTCGTCAGTGTTATCCACTGTGACCTTTAGTTTATCATCCTGTAGAGGATCACACCACCAATACCTGTTACCGTCGGTGTTGTAAGTATATAAACAAAAGTATACAGCCCACATTTATATAAATATTACGACTGTATCTAGACAAGGTCTGTCTGTCTTTAACCTTGATCAATTATTTTATTTATTCTTTCATGTTTAACCTTTATTTATTTAATCGAAGTGTTTTCACCCCGGGTCTCTGGAAACTTAATGATATTAGTTTACGACACAGGAATTTTCAGGAATACTACTTCTCGATATATTTCCGAAGGATATATAATTTTAAGGATTTTGCTCAAAGGTTATTTTTCTAAGGTAGTTTTAGGGAATATTTTTCACGCAAACGTTTCCTGAGACATTCCTCTTATGTATAATACGTCTTTAAGTATTACCGAGAATATTTTGTCATAATTCTCTGTACTTTTATAGAAACTACTGCTCTATAGTTTCCCAGACAATATGTTTAGCATCTCTAGTTTTCTAATCTCATTTTCAACCAGTGAATCAGTTGCTGGTGCATGGTGATGGTTGTGATGAGATATAGGGATTGTGTGAGTTATTTAAACCGTATCGGGGTGATGATGTGGTGAAATGTAGGGATTGTAGTAAGATAAAGGGTTTGTGGTGGTTGTGAAAAAGATGTTGGGATTGTGGTGGTTCCGTTTAGATGTAGGGATTGGGGTGGTTCTAACAAGATATAAGAATTGTGAAGGGTGTGGTGAACTGTAGGATTTTGGTAGTATTCTGGTGAGATGTAGGTTTATAGCAACTTTGTAGAGGTGAAATGGGTGTGTGATGGAAGCAGCAAACCCGTTAGTTTATCAGTCAACCTCGTAATTAAAGGAGATTTGGTGCGTATCATGAGTGAGGACATCCAAATGTAGGAGAGAATACACAAGTAGAAGATGCTGTATAATTAGTGTAGATGTAAGAGGTACAGTGTAGGCACAGGCTTGAACAACCGGTGAGATGTCAGGGCTATCCCACTAATTGTCAACTATGAGGTGTCAAGGCTATCCCACCTGCTACCACCTATTAACGAGTCGTGGATGTTTGGTAACATCTGCGCTAGTCTGTGTACTAGCTGGTGTTCCTCCAACTTGTACCGTGTAACTCTTATAGTTACCTCATATTTGTTTAGTACTTAATGTTCACACAAACACTTTTGATTTCATATTTATTTAGCAACATATAACACTACTCTGGTTATCAATAACGAATTAACCAATAGACAGCAACTGTCCTTTTACAAGAGAATATAGGAGAAAATTTACAGAGGTCCTTCAGCAAGTTTGTCGCTGGGCACTTGGTGATGAACCTGTGTAAATCAGAGGTGCGTGGAGGACATAGGAATGTCATCCAGCACGTGAGAAAGTAGTAATAAAGTATGCTTCGTTGCTGCTAATTTAGTTATATAATACAAATATGAATAGCCCACATTTACATAATTACTACTGTCATGTTGACAGGTTATTACAGGCGTAAGAGGGGCCGTGTAGGTGCAGGCATAAGAGATGCAGTGTAGGTGGTACAGATGTATATAAGGAAATGTAGAGATTAAGGTGATATATGTATGGAAATTAGAGGTGTAAATAATAATAATAGAATATACAGGTGCAAAAATGAAAGGTATAAAATATAAGCGTAAGAAGTATTACGGTCAGAGCTGCGGATGTATAAAAAGTAAAGAGTGCAACTTATACAGGTTAGTATACAGGTATAGGAATTATAAATGAACTATGTACAGATGTATCCGAACTGTCCCTATTGGCCGTTATACCTATGGGACCTACCTCCACAAATATAGGAGGTGCATGTGTACAAATGATTATTCGTTTGTTTTCAAGATGAAGTTGAAATTTTATGGGTTTTAAGTTAAATTCTCAAGTAGAATGTAGTAGGAACGGGTGTAAATGTAGAAATACTGATGTATTGTGTGAGTGGTTATATGTTTCGGAACTATGTATACATGTGTAGGACTTGTGGTATATGTCTTGGATATGGAGGATGAGAATACAGCTGTCGGGAGTGTGGTCTGATACGGGGGTGTCATGACTACTCTTCCAACACACAAGTTTCAGCTCTGCTTGTTCATATAGCGTCAGCGTAAATCTCTCACCCTGGGTCAATGTAGTAGGTCACGAGTCTGTCTCATTACCATCTCCGTATGGTGTAATCAATAGGACCTTTAGAACCATTAATGTCGACCATACTGTACCATGACAACCTCACTCACGTTTTCATTTTAATAAACGTATTGCTATTTATGTGTCCTCAGACTCGATACATTTCTGTACATAGGATTTATGTAACTTAATACGCATATGGAGACAATAATACTGTACTGTAGATGTGTAAAGCCTTTAAGTTGTGTCTTTATCGTATAAATCAAAGCTGTTTAAGATTTGTAATAACGTGCCATACCAAAGAAACCTACCCACCCACTAACTCCCAACATACCCACCCCACCACTAACCAACCCTTCAACAAGGAAACCAACAAATGGAGAACTTTTTTAAACTGTGTATCACCTGACATCCTATTGACTTTGCTTATTTATAATGTTTCAATGTATCTGTGACCAAAATAAAATAAAATTGTATCGTATGAAAAATTAGGCATATTAAAGGATATATTAATTTCAAAGTTGTAATAATTTATTGAATAAATGTTGATTGGCCTTAACAACCAGGAGTTATGATATGTTTTATTCATGTACCTCAACACTTCCCATCAACAGCATCTAAAGACTATATGCAATAGCCTTAGTACTCCTTACAAAAACACAAATTATTAATAAAACCCACAATCGTACTAGTTCATTCGTCGGTGAGTGGGTGGGAGGGTAGATAAGTAACCAAGATTCCCAGAAAGTAGATATTTCCCATTTCTGTGATACAAATTTCCGTTTTCTGATAATCTACTTCAAATTAGGTAATATTTCCCAAAAGTCGATAATCTACCTCCGAAAGTAGATAACCAACTTTCCCGGAAAGTA